CGTCTGATTTTTCCACTTCCTCTCCTGTTACAGCTTTCTGGTTTACTTGGAGCCTTATCCCCATTATAAAACTTGAGGATTCATTCTTCTGTAACTGTAAGGAAAGTATATTTAAACATTTTTTCTAGGGTATGTTGAATATATAACCTATAAACGTTATCCATTCTACAGGTAATATATCGCAAAATAACAATTTGTTTAATCACATTACCTATTTCAAGGTCGTAAGGGTATCGCATTTAATGCAGCGACATAGGTGGGTACGGGTAGAGCAAGATAACCTGACGAAGCCGATCCCTTTCCATTTGATTTCTTGAAAGTAGAGTTTGAATTCAGACTGGCTGTGTTACCAGAATCTGAGGAAATAAATATGGATTAATGTTTTTTCTACAAGGAAATAAGTGTGAAATCAAATCAGTAAGAATTTGAACTAAACATGTCGATTCTTTTTAACACTATTTTCTTTTAATATCTAGATCATATAGTAGAAAAAAATACAAACTTATGGTTAGTGATATAAGGGCCTAGCATATACCCCTAGCCAAGAGTATAGACAGTGTTATTCGTGTTTAGACTTTTACATAGGGTGTATAACTTAGATTACTCCAGTTTATATACAGGATATAAAAAAGATATAGCATCATCATCATCATCATCATCCTTCGATCCCTCTATGGTTGGTTGGAATTCCATTGACAATCTCTTCCCACCCTATTCGGTCATGTATTGCTGTCCCCAGATCAACCCTGAATCTCGAGCTATCTAAGAAAGCCAATTGTCGTGAGAAGGCCCTTATAGACAGATGCCATAGAAGTAAGGACGAAGGGCTATGTGAGAATATACTCCCAAATAGGGAAGGTTATATAACCTGCTTTTCGATGTAAGATGTATATATGTAATATGTATCTGCAAATAATAGTCGACGGATCATGCATTGTTACTCTGCTAATTGGTGATTCTCTGGTTTAAGACGAATTGTACATCTTTTGTTTGTTTATTTCTTATCATATGCTAAATAATCGTCAACAGGTATGTTATCATATAATGATATAATTGTACAATATGCTTAACTATACAATAAACACCCGTCTTTAAAATTATATGGTCCTTGATCCACAAATGTTCTCAAAATTACTATACTTCTTAAAGGTTATTCACTGCATAATTAGAATCTATTATTATGTTGCAAACTAACAAATGTAATTATTTATGTAAATGACAAAGATCTATTTAGTTTTCCCTCGCAACAGATTTTTTACTGATAAATAATTATTACTTAACTATCACCTTTGTCTCAAATCTAAATTCTAAAAAAAATGTCTGGAGAAGAAGTCGTGACGGAAATGGATCTCATGGAAGACACGCCGTAAAAGAATGTAATTTATATTAGTAATTATTTTAGAAAAATTTTACATACTTACTATTTCAAATCATGCGCGCGTATCCATGTCTACAGATCTAGTTGCCGAGATAGAGTCATTATAATGCAGAGAGGCAGAATAAAAGCAATTCCTAAAAGTATAATTATGTAATACATTCTCATTTTTAATTTAGAGTAGATTACTAAATATAGTTTCGATTATATATTCAAATATAGATAAGCATATGTATATATTTCTGAGATGAGGTATAATTACTACTTACACTATTTACATTGTTCGGACTGTTGTACTCATCTTTATTGGTTATATTCACGATGTTTCGGCCGTTGTACGTCCCGACCTTCTACAGGATATGTCTATATTTCTAAGATGAGGTATTTTAACTATTTACACTATTTACATTGTTCGAACTGTTGTTCTCATCTTTGTTTTCATATTCACGATGTTTCATACGCTGTGAGCTCCGCTTTCTTCAGGATCTGTCTATATTTCTAAGATGAGGTATTGTAACTATTTACATTGTTGGGATTGTTGTCCGCATCTTTGTTTTCATATTCAAGATGTTTCTGCCGTTGTACGCTCCGGGTTTCTTCAGGAACTGTCTATATTTCTAAGATGAGGTATTGTAACTATTTACACTATTTACATTGTTCGGACTGTTGTACTCATCTTTATTGCCATATTCACGACGTTTCGGTCGTTCTACGCCCCTGCCTACTTCAGGAATTGTCGGTATTTCTAAGATGAAGTATTTAACTATTTACACTGATTATATTCTTCAGACTATTGTCTTCATCTTTGTTGTAATAATCACGATGTTTCGGCCCTTGTACGCTCTGGTCCTCTTTAATTGATTGGAATTTTGAACTGAGCCATTTATTTCGTCCACTGGAGTACATTGTTCTAGTTTCCCGTGTTATGACTATTCCGGATATCTCAGTTTCAGCTATTTCCCTTAGTAACTTAACTCTCCAAGATTTTTGTGTTACTCTGCTGTGGCCAGGTATTGAACTGCCTGCTTTTTGGTTCAAGTCATTGGTTTGCTTCGATCAATGCTTTTATCCACTGGGTCATACCTACTTAATCAAACGGCGTGAATATAGATATTAGTTCGAACAATGTAAACAGTGTAAATAGATTAAGTTTATTTGGTTAGATGTGTTTTGGTTTAAATTACGGCACAGTAATATTTATCACTTTATATAATGGGTAATTCTGTCATTTTGATAAAGGATGGAAAGGTAGACCCAAGTTTGGTTTGAACGCGAGTCAAAAACAGTACACATATGTTTCGTTTACATAAAAGTTAAAAAGAAAGGTGTATGTACATAGATTTGGTTTGCATAAGAATCAAAAAGTTCGGAAGAGATTTTGGGGCATAAGAGTTATAAAGGCAAAGACAAGTCAATTTATTCTGAACATCTTGAATTTATATGCATGGAAATCAAAGTTTCAGTTTACAGAATTAGAGACTTTATACATGTAAGGTAATGCTGGCACCTCGAGGTGGCGTAATGGTTAGCATACTTGTCTCGCTAGAACAATTACGGCTGAGTAGTGAGTTCAATCCTCACTGGCTGCAACTGACTTTCGGCCTTGTGCCACATCTAAGCTACGCTTGGAAAACCACTACATTCAACGTAATGAGTAATCGGCACATATTTTGACTCTTTTTAATCCGTTTTGTATATATAAAATTGATTCTGTCTATTAAATCCTTATTTGTCAAGAAAAGATATAGAACCGACTACACAACACTAATGTTATTATATAACGGCATTTACTGGGCCCAATATATTTCTATCTCATATATATATATATATATATATATATATATATTTTATATATATATATATGTGTGTGTGTGTGTGTGTGTGCAAATAAAAAATGTAAATAAATGTACGTGTAAGTGCATATATATATATATATATATATTTATGTATATATATATATATATATATATATATATATATATATATATATGTGTGTGTGTGTGTGTGTGTGATGTAAATGAAACAATGCTCAATGCAAATCATAATTATTTATTGATAATTATTCATAATGCCCTACAGCGACAGTACGACTCTGAGTTTCATATAAAACTGCTAGTTGTACTGTCGACGTGGATATTATATATATATATATATATATATATATATATATATATATATATATATATATATATATGTATATGCGCGCGTGTGTGTGTGTGTGCAAAATATATAGAAAATAGGAAAGAACTCGTTAGGTAAATAATCTAAATTTCTTTAGTATTTTTGTTATTATTTTTTGAAAACAGTGGTCGATACAAAAGTAGAGCATATATATATATATATATATATATATATATATATATATATATATATATATATATATATATATCGTCGTCGACTCTCCCGTCGAATTCGACGTATGAGGGTCAAGCAGATCAGCTTCCACGGATTTACTATATGGTGAGTTAAACCATATTTTTTTTCACTCCTATCATTTATATTCTTGTGTTGTTTTTACTAAATTTTATTTCCTTTTTTGACCATTTCTTTTTAGGGCATCTTTGTTTTCCTCATTTTACGTATTAGTATATAATCTCCAGGCTATTGATTTATATAAGTGTTTAATGACGATAGAAGAATGATCGCACGCAATGCTTATGTTTAGAGGCATATTTCCAGGGTTTTCTCTACGGTTTATAGACTCCTGTGATTAGATTTAAACTCATATAAAGGTAGTTCACTTCTATGAGATTAAATTCCATCTCTATTCTGAGCCCGTATTGTATTTAAATAAATGTTCCTAAGTGTAGTTATAAGATAGTTTTCACAATAAAAACAAAACTACTATTCCAAACACCTCAGTACCGTCATAGCTACCAAAGTACCTCATACGTTCGTGTCCATATCTGCTTTTTATGGAAGACGAGGGATTTTTGACAGTGAGTTATGATTTTGTCCTATAGATTTATAAACTCTTGAGGCTGAATACTTAAGAAATCTTATGAAAGAAAAATACACTCTGTGACAGGATTTGAGGCTGCATTCCCTTTACAGGAGAAACCGTCGGCAGGACCGATGCACTTTTAAACAACTCAACCACGAAGTGCGACATCCATTAAGCATGGCTGAAAACTTTCTAACGATGATTTATATTATGAATGGAGGATGCAGGTTCGAATCCCCCTGGAGTGCGCTTAAATTTATTTAAGAAAATTTCTCGAATTTGCCGGTAGACAAAAAAAATGTACTGTTTAAAGAAAACGGAAACATCTAATCAAATATAGATATCCAGTAAAATAATTTAATGTGATAAAATATGTCGGATTAATAATTAAAATAAAATTATATATATATATATATATATATATATATATATATATATATATATATATATATATATATGTATGTAAAAATAAAATTATATATATATATATATATATATATATATATATATATATATATAAATATTTATAGATATATATATTTAAGTAATTGTTCTGTTTTATAATAAACAGTATTAATAACATTTACCGGGCTGAATGTCCGAGACATTTTCATAGAAAATATTCGTTCTCCAACAGGAATCGAATCTCTATCCTATACGGAACAGTCATTTAGCTTGAAGTGTATTAACTGATCGATTAACGATTCTCCGTGGCTCTATTTATCTATCTATCTATCTATCTATCTATCTATCTATCTATCTATCTATCTGGTTCCCATCTGAACTGGATGCATGGTAAACGTTCACTAACCAAACATCATGTTGACCCTCTATACTATGTTGGTTTGAAGTCGCATCCTGGCTCCACATATAAATGTCATCCTCTTATTTGAACAAAAGTATATTTTCCTCCCGACACCCAGACCGTGACCGAGCCCGGATGTTTGCTTTGTAAGCGACATATGAAATCAACTATTGACTTGGTGAAGGTGCATTTGCTTCAGTTGTTGAGAACAGCATTTAATTTAAAATCGGGTCCATGATTATTGAGTTATCTGAGCTGGATTTGTAGCATTAAACCTTTTGGATTTCTCGGATTTTTTTTTTTTTTTTGCGAAATAGCTTGAGATCTGGTGCATTAATGTTTGAACCCGGGAACGATAGAATAGCTATACATTCTCATCTATTCTATCGTTCCCGGGTTCAAACATTAATTCATCGATTATCTTACGCTTGTTTACATTAAAATAAATGGTCTTGAGGATATTAGAGAAAATCAGACTCCGTTTTATTGTAGACTACGATTTTTCCTAACTCCCTTTTGATAACTTTTACAATTTCTATGAATAACTCAACATTGCAGACAATGTGCAGTATCACAAAAATGTATTCAGGCTGCATTTAGGATGGTGTCTGTGTGTCTGTGTGTGTGCGCGCGCGCCCGTGTGTGTGTGTGTGTGTGTGTGTGTGTGTGTGTGTGTGTGTGTGTGTGTGTGTGTGTGTGAAGATTAATAGGTAACAGCGTACATTAATATAGAGATAATAATAATCAGCATATTTTTCTATCACATCGAATTTAACATCATTTGGAAAAGTGGTTGATGGGAGTTTAATTTAAATTTTACTACATGTTTGATTCCCCCGGCATATATATATATATATATATATATATATATATATATATATATATATATATATATATATATATATATATAAATTAATTGAAACAAAACGTATAATTCCGTTATTATTTACTTATTTTTGTATTTTTTCCAGTGAATCATGATCCAGTAAACATGTTAATACTTCATATGTCCTTTCTACGAAGTCGCTCCTTGAGGATTCTCGACTGGATTTAAACCAGGAAATTTTCGGGCTAGTCTATAATACTTTGGTTTGCTCATTGATAAAACTTGACAGTATTCGTGCAGCGTTACAATTTTCGTATACTTCCTTGGAGTAAATTCCATCTCAGACAATAGCCGTAGGACAACTAATCGACTGTCGAGACAATAGTGTCTGAGCGTGATAAAAATCTGATGGAAATCACAGATGACACAATATTTTTCAAGGCCAAACAATATATATATATATATATATATATATATATATATATGTGTGTGTGTGTGTGTGTGTGTGTGTGTGCGTGCGTGTGTGCGTGTGTGTGTGTGTTATTATAAATCTAATGTCTTCAGCTACTGTTTTTGTACCAGTGCTCATACTTCAATTTTGTTTGTTATCATTTATGTTTTTACCAGAGCTTATATTGCAATTTTTCGTTGTTATTATTGTTTTTCTCTGGCACTCTTTATTACTGGTTCCTATATTATATTCATTTTTATGCTTGGTCGGCTCAGGAGTTTTTGTGGGCTAACATATATGCTGATTCCTTAAGTTTACGAATTTTCCATTCATGTTCTTTGTCTATGATTTCAACTTGATCCCACAGAGGACAGTGATTTCCCTCTTTTCTCCATATGTGGTCAGTCTCGCCTGATTTTTCCACTTCCCCTCGTTCACAGCTTTTTTTGGTGTTCTTGAAGCCTTACCTTAAGAGGCGACCTGTCTCACCTTTATATTTCTTTCCGCAGCTGCACGGGATGGCGTACAAACAGTCTTTAGACATGTTCTCCTCTATGAAGGCTCTTAATCGTGAGAGGTATCTGCGTAGTGTCGTCCAGCTTTTGAAGATTGTCCTGATGTTATATGGACCGCAGATCATTTGTATTTTCTCCGATAACCCCTTCACAGAAAACAGAAAAGATCTGCGGCCCATATAACATCAGGAAAACCTTCAAAAGCTGTCGTGATGTCTGTATGCGCTTTCGTGTGCACGTGAACATGCATGCTACGTAATTATGACGTCTGCCTGTTCCTGTTTTGATGCAACGTGTTTTTCATTATGCACTTTTGTAATTATTATGTGTAGCTTAGTTTCGTCATAAGCCCGGAAGCGTATATGATGCATTAAGCATTGAACCCATTCCTAGCTGACATTATTATACATAGAATTACTTATAGCTTCTTACTTAATAGGGATAAGAAATTTGCGTAGTCAAGTTTTAAAATGAAATTCTCAAAATTAATGTGATTTGTTATTCTTTTAAAAACAGGCATTTAGCCTGAAACTGGACATGAGAGATTTGCAACTGTTTACCAATATTTTTTTTGCTTCTAATTAAATTTATTTGGTTTTCCAATAAACGCATTTCCTCTCATGAAACTTAATAATTTATTCCATTATAAGAGCGTGGATTTATATAAACTAGAGGATAGAATGGTGTGTTGTTTTTATCATACGGAAAAAAATCAGCAATTGCGTACTATTTATATTTTATATTTTGATTGTTATGTTCTGAAAATCTAAGAAATTTAAAACTTAATCTCTCATATATATTTTAGTTTTAGAATAATACTTTAAATAAATTTCCTCTAAGTGACTATCAAAAAAAATTTAAAAAAAACAGTTTTACAGAAATAATCTTACGACTATTCATTTTCTAGAATTTCTCCGAATGAATATATATACTTAACAAATTATTATCTAAATACACTTTTTAACTTTTTATTGAAAGTTAAAATGAAGTTTCTTCCGTAAATAGTTCCGGAAATAAAATAAATACTTTATATTTTATTTTCAAAAGCATTTAGATTTTAAACGAAAATAGCGCAACGAGTGTACTTAATGAACTTTGTAAGATAATCAGGAACACAGATACTTTTAAGGACCTGGATTCGTCACTTACTGATTTCAGAGTTAAAGATTCTCATTACAGCAGTGTTACCGTAATTTTATCAATAACCCTTCCTCGGATAATTCTAGTAATTCCAAAGGGGCCAAGTTTTGATCAAATTAGAATTACTCGTCAGTCAGATCTGGAAATAAATATCCGACAATACAGGAGACGAACCTTAGATTAACCCTTTACTGTATTTGCTGAGTGTCGACAAGCCTTTACAGAGCGAAATGGCCATTCAGATGTGGGATTTTTGAATTTCATTTATTTGTAATTTAGATATATATATATATATATATATATATATATATATATATATATATAAAATCCGTGGGTAAGAAATAAAAATGAAGCCCAATAATATAAAAACTGATCCATAAATAGAGCTCAATGTATTTATTACAGAGCATATACAAATAAATTACAAATAAATGAAATTCATATATGCCCCTTGTGAATGAGCCTTTAGCCTCGCTTGAACATTCAAAAGGTAAAAAGTTAAATAAAATAAAATTAAATATGATGTCTAATTTAAAAAAACAAAAAGTAAGTAAAGATCAAAACAAAAGACCGGAAGGGAAAACAAAAAAATGTTTGTTGTCTTTTTCTCTCTTTTTTTTTCCTTCCGGTCTCTTAGTTAGAATTAAAAAAAATGTTAGGCGTAATATTTTATTTTATGTACTTTTTTAGTGTTGCTCAAACAGAGAGAATTGTTCATTCAGATGGGGTATTTGTGAATTACATTTATTTGTTATTGTTGTGGATTCCGGGTTGAAATCCGGTACCAATAAATAACAAACGCCAGGAATGAATCTAGGAAAATAATGTATTAACGTAATAATACAAACTGGTAAAGCAGGTTTGTAGTTCCAGGAATACGGATTAGTAGCAAAATATATATACAGTCTTTGGTATTGAAGTATCACTGTATGACTTCTTACTGAGTCTACGGGCTCGCTCACAAACTCCTACATTCAGAATCTACATTCAGATAACTTACTTGAAGAGTTGATCTGCAGCCTACAGATCTTTTTGATATTGCGATGTTTAACTGATTTCTAGGATATAAAATTGGTACTTGAGGTAATATGTTTTAGAGGCCTGTCTCTAGAATCTTGCAGCAGACGCTTCGGTTGTTTCTTTCTAATATTTTAATTGCACACTTTATGGACAGAAGAGACTGACTTAATTTTAATGGTGGTTTAATACAATTACGGCGACTTTCAGTTGAATTTTTCAGATTTGCAAATTCACAAGAATTATAGTTCAAATATAGTATTTGAAGCAAAATAATTTTAAGAAGTTAATCAAATACCAATGTTAAATATGTCATCACTTTTTATTACGTTAGCAATCTAAAGAAGGAAATTACTGGAAAGTAATTGAAACTCACCTGAAGCGAGCTGAATGTATAATGCTCCTCATGCGAATGACACTTCCACCGAGCTTCTCTACGGCATATGACTTCACTGAATTTTGATGTGTTCCTCTCGAATTTATATTTAAACTGGGGTCATCAGGAGAGAATGGGCACCGTTTCGGGGCCTTCCTCTCAACGGTTTCAGTTGCACACCGCCCCGCCCCACTCACTGATGTTTGGCTCCATTATAACGATATACAAGTGTTGTAGATAAACTAGTTCAAATGTGTAACGGCGAAATTAAATTTACGAAAATTCGAAAAACGGCTAACCTCGCGTTTTGAGAATGCAACGTGAACCTCATTACGCATTCACGACCAGTCATGTCATGCCGTCATGTTCGCTGAAACACTCCACGGAGTATTTCGTTTTTTCCATATCCACATAGAACTATTTTCTGTCACTTCTATTAGGCGTTTTATACTCTTGGCCCTATTACGCCCTTTGATTCCAATTTGGCCCAGAAATTGGTACAGAGTGCCTGAAACGAAACCCCTTGCTCCAATTTCCACTGCTCTAACAATTGCATTATACCCCTCCTTTATTAGCTCTGACTTTAGATTTTCTTATTTATTTGTTTTATAATCGTGGCTTTGTTCCATCCGGCATTCATATGGTACTGTTAACTCAACCAGGAT